AAACCTTCTCCTGGCAATAACCAACACATAAAAGAAAGAATTATCCAATTTGATACTGTCATTCTAGAGTTATCCGCTTAGATACATTTCGGGGATTCATTTTTAGTAAAATGAAACCACTCACTGAAGACGAATACAATCGGAGACTTCTACTTCCTATAAACATCCCATCCTAATGAATAATTTCAGCCATATACGATTCAGTGTACGGGCAAGCTGATCATGCCAAAGACTACAATATAATCATTTTAAGTCTAACAGGAAGTAGAGTAAAAAATGATCAGACTTACGAAGTACAAAGGTAATCATTATCACAGTACCGATATCTACCAGACAACCTTTAGTAATGTATGTAGATCATGAAATTATCTTTTAATACTACACCCGCACTTGATAAACTGTCATGGGAATAACCTTAAATTGAACGAATAACACAATAACACCATAGCTCTTATTTTACAAAAAGATACGCAGATACTTATAAAAAAAATTGATACATGTATACGAATATCTACATATACAACCTCTATCTCTTACAATCTCAATAATATGTGATTTTCCTTTGTCGTATACGGGGAGTTACTTCAGACTTTATGCTATAACTGAGAATTTCAAACAATAAGCATACCAGTTTGAAACAACAGAATAACTTAAATATGATCAACAGCCCATGACAGCGAACTGCTGGAAAGGTTGTCATGATTGGAGATCACAGTTTAAAAACTACAGCTCGTCATCATCACCATCATCCTCATCAGCCGGAAGATGTCCGTAATTGAACAGCTGCTTAAAGATATTATTACTGTCTGTGCGTGAACGCAGCTGGTCGCTCCTTTGAGGGAGGCGGCGGGGTGAGGGGCCGCGCAAGCGGAAGCAGCTTACGGCCACCATATTGATATTGGGATCGTACGGACACAAGCGTCATCATCAAAGCGTCTGCGTCTTCTCGTACAAGACGCCATTTTATAACTTACCGTTTTAATTCTTTTAATATACCAAATTAACATACAGTCCACTAATTCATTGAAGATACCCGTCCCCAACAATTACTCAAAAGGCTTACCTGTTTTTCCACACGATTAAAGGTCATCCCACATTTAAAAAGCGTCTAGCGTGGCATCGGCGCGGTGACCGCGCGCTTCCAACTATCAGGCGGCGGGTTGCCGGGGTGGCGTCGGCGCGCTTTTAACTCGCGGGAGGCGCGCCGGCCGTAAGGTGAAATCTTTTAACAAGACTAACTACGATGCAACGTTGTTTTGCTGGCGCCTTGTGGGCGGCTCGCCGTCAACTCGCCGACGCCGCGCTGTCAGCGCGCGGGCGGTGCGCCACAAGCACGCGGGCGCCTCGACTACTCCTCGAGCGGACCGCCCGCTGACCACCCGCCGTCGGCTTTTTGTATTGACGTTACGAAATGTATCATACGACATACGATTTAAATGACAACTTAATGGCCGAGCACGTTTGAAGATGACCTTAACCCTACACACAGGTCTACGAATATAACTTCAGGCAAGTTATTTCATCAGTTTGTAAAATACCTATTACCACCTACTGCCTACCTAAACTGGAACCTGTTAGATTAGAGATAGGAGCTATAGATTAGGCCAGGCCTAGGAGAAAAGGAAAACTCCTGATAATTTTACCACAACCATACAAGAGTTGCACTTATACCCACTCAGGTGCTAGAGATAAAAAACTTAAATAAAATATTGAAAACAACAAAAAAACAATATGTTTTAAAATATTACAATATTTATTTATTCACAATAAATTTCATACATTCAATCATTACAATATCACCAATAGCACACAATTCAATTACCTACACTTGACACATACTTGTTCCACACAATAAAGAATTACTTAATTATTTATTCAAACAGCTGGAGTACATTTATATCTTATCCTACTAACTTTTCCCCAATAGTTAGAAGGCTTAGCAGTACAATACAGTACAGTACACAGCTAGAAGTATTACGTCTAAATCATATGATTGCAATCCAAATAAGTACCAGAAACACGGTTTTTATATAACTTTTAGCACCATAAAGTCAAGGATACACTAAGGGACAAATGGTCCACGACGTGTATCGGTTACATGTCAAGCAAAGCCAGCCGATTTCGCTCTCTATTGAAGACGACAACGCGCGCCTTATGCTCACAGCGACGTTGATCTTGCCAGACATGTCGACCAAAGTCCGGCAACGTCACGCTACTTCACCCAACGTCGCTGGCGACACGTGACGCAGGACATTTGTCCCAAAGTGTATCATCATCATCATCATCATCATCATCATCATCATCATCATCATCATCATCATCATCATCATCAGCCTATAAATGCCCACTGCTGAGCAAAGCCTCCTCTCATACGGAGAAGGTTTTAAAAAGTGTTTCCCAAAGTGTATGCTTGGCTTTAAACACATACTGCCGTACTTAAAGACATTTAATAATTACTTAAACTATTCCTTAGTAACGATTTTGTTCCGAAAGCAATCACTAAGGACTAGGTTAGGTAACCATTGAATAACTATGAATACGGCAAATAATCTTTCGCTTTTCAATTTAAATGAGACAACACATAAGAACTAACCGGTTAATATTTTGGTTCTCGTTGGCAGGTCTTGCTAAAGTCTGTGTAATTTAAATAACCTTCACTCTGCCTTTCACAACCCAACACATAATACAATATACAATATACGTAATACAATATTTATATGAAATCTTGACACAAGATATACAATGGTACAATCAATGAAATCTTATCAATTCATATTATTCTCTATTTACTTACATACATTGATGTGATGGTAACATATTCCTAAGTACTTGTGTAAAATAGGTTTTGTGTAAATTAGCTTTCAGTACATAAATACAAAAAGTACTTTGTTAACAAAAGTAGATATATGCTGTATTTACATGCAAAAGTATTTTTTCCTAACATTCCTTACAAATGATTGATCAACCTAGCGCAGGTGGACAATTAACTTCATTTAATTATTATGTTTTCGGCGTAGTCTCGTAACTGTTTGAGTAGGAACTCGACTTGTTTTAAGCCGTGCTACCATGTGACGAACGCGGCGCCTGTCGCGTTGCTACAGTCGCCGCCTCGCGCGTATCTAATATTATAAGTCTCTATCATGGCTTGAAACTAGTCGAGTTCCTCGTCAAGTAGTTACGTGAGTAAGTCGAAAACATAATAATTAATTTAGTCTCACGGAAGTTTTAATATAAACAATTAACTTCAAGAAAAGATAGGCGATATGTCCGATATTAAATAAAAATTTCGATAATAATATGTAATTACCAATATTCAGTGCAAGTCGAAACTATACTATACTTCTAAATATAGAGTTCAAAAATTAATAATAAATGAATTTTACAATATTTAAATATATTTTTGATAATATCCTTAACACGAAAGGAACAAATACCATTCATTTTTTTTATAAAATATTAATAAAGTATGGAATGTACAATGAAAAATATGATGAATAACATATTGATATTTCATAACAAAAACATATAAAACTATAATTGTTTGAATAATATTTGAAAACTAAAATTTTTTTTAGCCTTTAATGAATAATTACGATCACAAAATTACGAAAATATCTATACAGATAAATAAAATTGAAATATCTGTTTGTAATATTAAAATAACCGCCTTTTACTACATGTATGGTTTGGTATGTGTATCATATGTATATGCATATACATACATGCATATAAATTTTTAACATTTTTATCTATATGTCTGTTTGTACTGGCTAATCTCTGAAAAACCGATTTTGACGGGAATTTTATTGGCAGTTAGCTGATGTACTCGGGAGTAACATAGAATATTTTAATTTTGGAAAATGGAAACAAAAAAATGTCCTAAAATTCTTATTCTACGCGGACGAAGTCGCGAGCTAGTATTATCTATTAAAAAAGCATCTTGTTCAGTTAATTACTACTTATCAAAGTACTCATTCGCTTTTTAAATCTGAATTTCACCAAAGAGTCGTAATAGTAAGATATTAAAGGCAAAATCTATAACCGTGAAGTAAAAGATCAAATATGCTGACAAGTGCGAACAATTTTCCAGGAAAAGAAACCAATTTTGCTCATATACGAGTATGTGATCGTGTTTAGTCAAAGTTTACTGAGAAAAGTCATATATATATGTATATATATATACTAAACATGAATTTTTATAAGAATACAACGTAATATTACAATACAATTATTATAACATTAATTTATTTTTATTATTATAATATTAATTTATCGCTAATAATTTATACCAGCATAACTGTTTATAAAAATCACAAAACAAAAACATTGATTTAAGTTAAAACATTATTATTTTAAAGTAAATATTATACATTCAATTAAAATCTATACATAAGTAAATAAATTGAAAATTACAATACACATTACAGGTTATATAACATTTAAGAAAGAACATACACGACACATGGACTCAAGTATGCTAAAATAATTCGATTGTATTCTTATCTTAAGGTCTACTTTTGATTGAATCATAAAACACAAAAATATGAATAAAAAGTATGAACATAACCAGCTTAATGTATTTGGTAGCTACTTATACCTTTAATAAATTAACCCAAAACACTAACGTAAGGAAACAGGTTAACGGTACGGGTGGGTCTGTACCGATTGATGCAAAGTTAACTTCTCTGTAAAAACTACCAGGTTTTTGTAAGAACCTGCACAGATCGGTACATGGAAACACCGATTCATGGAAATACCCTTACACGTAATAGGACGTACAACAGTATATACATATACCAAAATAATCCACTGAGGAATGAAACAGCTAACTAAGAACTGAACTTTTTACAAATACATACCTAATAATAAACAAATCACTTCTTAGGTAGCTGTCTGACATTATATTTTTAGTCGCACCCTCTGATTTAAATCAAAATTTAAAACCTTTTACTTATATTCATATCTGATTAACAAACTCTTATTTTGTCTACTTCTTAATTCTAAATATTCTTTCCCATTTCAATCTTTTCCTTCTCCATCTTTGAAGGGACGAAAGTTAAAGGATCTGCCTTCTTACTTTCCGCTTCTTTTGCATCTTTCTTCTCTTCGGCTTCTAAAGCAATCTTTCTTAAGTTCTTCAGTCCTATCTTATTCTGGATGTAGAAGAGTCTGTAAAAAGGATTCGTAATCAATATGTATGAAATACATAATGCATAAGATATTAAGAAAGAAATACATTAGTTAAAAAGATTTGGAAAATCATAAAAGAACTGCAAGCATTTATTGGGTTATTTCGAAAAGTACACTAGAACTCTATTAGTTTAAAAACTATATAGTTTGATTACCGTATTGAAATCTCATGAATTAAAAATTCAGGTGAACCCTAGAATCTAAAGTCATTATCAAAATGTATAATGAAGCAACAAAGCAGAAAACAGTTGTCAGAATAGAAAGAACCAGAAAATCTGACACCGAGTCAAGCAACAAATGCCAGCTAAGTTTTTACATATAGGACACAATGAAGTATAAGTACTTACAGAAGAATAATAGACGGTGGTATGGCAATAGCCGCGCTGGCGAGGAACACTGCTCCTGGCAACGAATGCAGCGTCTTCATGTACATCCACGAGTAGAACGGATGAAACACCAGTGCTGCTGTCGTCTCCGTTAGTGAGAATAATGAGTTCACTTTGGCTGAAAGGCAAACAGGTAGCAGATTTTATTTGAGGGTAATAAAGTTCAAAATCTGTTGCAGTAATTACAATTTTATCTGGACTTATTTCTCTTTGTATTAGTATATCCAATCTTACTAGGTTTCGATATTTTTCTATTGTGATTGTATTCGGATTTTCATTCATCTCAACTGACAATCAATATTAACGTTTGACAGAAATGAAACACGGTAATGGTTTTAGGCATTGTACCAAACGTATTGTCGGCCGCTGACTGAGAGCGCGTGTCGTAGTTTATCTTTTACTTTCCCATATATATGTATGTATATATATGTAACATCTCGTTCACACCCAACCAACTGCACGGTTAGTACGGTGGCTGGGCAACCGGCTGCCGTGCAACGTGTCGCGGGTTTGATTCCCACACGGAACAACACTTTGTGTGATCCACAAATTATTGTTCCTGGTCTGGGTGGTGTCATGTGTATGTGTACACATGAACTTGTATGTTTGTAAACGCACCCACGACATAAGAGAAAATCCTAGTGAGAGGCGACGTTTTTAAAAAAAAAAACTACACGCTATTACGTAATGCGTCGTCGACAATGAACACACTTACGAACGATACCTTAAATGAAACTACAGTCGGCAATACGAAGCAAAACAACAATGAATAAAACAATCAGAACTCACCATTCTCCTGTTTTTCCACCAACTTGGATATGATGGAACGCAGTGACGTAAATGTTGTGGCATTTAGTAGCTCAGCGACAGGCACTGCAATTGTGAACACAATCAAATTAATAGCCGCCATTGAACCGACCGTTATTCAAATGCATATTATTATCATAATAAAACTGGAATATTATGAGATGGTGGATGCTTTGTGCCGTATGATAATTTGATATTCATTTCATTTAGTTATGGCGATCGCATTGTAATGCAGTGGCTGATGATAATATCATATCTGTCATTTTGCTTCCTGTCCTTGTGCTGTACACCTTTATGACAACTCTGTTATCGACAACAGATCAATAAAAGTTTTAAAGTTACATTTTATTGCACTTGATTGTGGAAATTGTTGCAACGTCCAATATGTAACCAGTAGCCATTTCCAATACAGATTACAGGGATTTCTAAAGGATTTTTAACAAAAGAACTAAGGGCAATCCAATAGATCTGCATGCAGGTTTGATCAAAAGTCGGACAATTAATAAGTATATACAATGGCAGAATCCTACACCATCATAGGATACAAGCCTATGTATTGTAGTTATAGTTATTGTATGGTATAACGAAATAATTGTAATAATTTAAGTAAGGGGTCTCGGGTTCGATTCCCTGGTCGGGCAAACTATTACTGGGTTATAAAAAAAATCTCAGTCAGTCAGGAGTCTGGAATTGTGCCCGGTATATGTCAATAGGCTCACCTCCTGTTACATGGGACTCATAACATAAATAGTGAAAAGTGGGTGTTACATTGTACAGTAGAATAATGTACACCTCTGCCTACCCCTTCGGGAATAAAAGGCGTGATGTTATGTTATGTTTTTACTTAGTGGTGAATGACTGGCTGAAGCTAGTGTTTCAATACGATGAAAAATACATGGAATCAAAGGAATTTTACATAATAATTTCTAGAAAACAAGACGACACTTGCTATGTTCGGATTCCATTATAACATTATTGACACATTGTACATTGTACAGTGGCATAATGTACACCTTTGCCTACCCCTTCGAGGATAAAAGGCGTGATGTTATTTTACGTAATTTAAGTGCTTACCCAGATACATTTCAATGTCGGTCGTGACGAATGCAGTCCATATGGACCCGGCGATCTTGCTGATAACAGAAATGAAACACAGCAAGCAATCGTCAACCTGCAGACGTTTGCTCAGTACGGTGATGGAAAACATTGCACCTGAAAGGAAAAACGGTCATAATTAAATTTTTTATGTATAAACTAGATTTATACAAGTAATTATTAAAATGGAAATATTGCTCATAAATTATACTTTTATTGTTATCATTTTATCTTGACATTGAATGACCGACAACATTAACTCTACAATCGTACGATATTTGTTTTTATAATAACAACCGTAGGACGTACTGGATTAACTAAAAATTACGAGTTACTCAAGTAAATGTACTGTAAAAAGCTCTAGTAGTTTCAAATCACAGAGAGACTCTTCTTTATGAGCATACTTGTCCGAGTAGCAAATGTTTCATAGCTTTAAACGACTATGTGAACAAACTATAGGAGTTAAAGTCCATCAGGTAAATCTATTTCCAAGTACTTATTACGTACCCAATCGATACTTTATTTAAATCAAATTATTTCTTGTCTGGTTACCCCTTAAACCCGCCATTACCTCTTAATGCGAAAAAATTGAGAGACCTTTCAAATTATTTGACGCAGCGCGAAGTTTATGAGATTAACGTTTTAAAATCCCTTTGAAAAATCAGAGGAGGCAGCACCTAGCCCCTCATTAAAGGGCAAAGGATATCATTACCCTCATGTACTTTTGTGAGGTGGGCAGTCTTCATTATGAGGAAACTCCTGTCAAGAATATAAAGCAAAATTTTCCTTTTCTTCAATATTATCCCGAAAGGGCGATCACCATAAATGTGAATCTTCGAGATACCTTTCAAAATTATCAATATAGCTGACCCCATGCCAGATGCAATCAGTCAAAAGGATAGAGCTTTGATATTGTTTTTCTCAAAAGGGAAAATGTAAATTCAATGCAAACATCGACTTTCGAAAGAAAATTTATAGACAATAATCTTGTCCTGTATTTATATTACACTAGCGACCCGTCCCGGTTTCGCACGGGTGCGGTATGCATGTATTGTACATATCAACCTTCTTTAAGAATCACTATATCCGTTAAAAAAACCGCATCAAAATCCGATGCGTAGTTTTAAAGATCTAATCATACATAGGGACAGACAGACGGCGGATAGCGAGTTTGTTTTATACACAGAACATTATAAAGAAGATTTCTTTAAATGTTCTGTGGTTTTATACTATGTAGTGAAGACTTTTTACTCACCAAATGAATGTAGTACAATGGAGTAGCTGACGTAGAGTCCATACTTGACCATGTCCCAGTTGAGACGGTTCCTGACGAACAGGTAGAACACTCCATGTTCCGCTGTAATTGTTACAATTATTATTTTAAATTTTCTGTGATTCAAATGATAATGTTGGGAAAATGGCAAAATAGTAATTGTTCGCTGCTGGAGAAAGGCCACCATCCACCATCATCAAGTTAATACCAGTACTAACAAATATCATTTGGGCTCACTACCTCGCATCGATTGTATTGTGATGATTGAAAAAGAGTAACCTATGGAGTTTCTTACTCGTCCTTCTCCACAGGAATCTACACTTTGGAACGAGCAAATAGCTTCACTAGAGGACTGACCTACAGACTAGCATTTTTTCTTATTTACTTAATATTTAAATATTTTGTTTTGACGTTCAAAAGTGCTTTCCTGGACTAATTGAAAAAAATGATTTTGATTTTGAGGTAGAGGACTCGAAATCGATTTCTAAGACTACAAAGTATAATCACTGGGATTTACATATTCATAATAGAATTGACAAATACAATCCCTGTATTTGTCAATTCTCATCCATGAGGCTCATCCTCTAATCACATAACTGGTGAAAAGTGGGTGTGACATTTAAAATGTGCATATTCGCGTTTTGTAACTTACACGAAGTAGGTCCGAAGAGTAGGAATACCATCAGCAGAGTGAGCAGGATCTTGGTTTTCTTGTTCTTGGTACGAGGTCTGAAGGCGACAGCTATCGTCTCCGCCACGTGGGATAGGTCGAAAAACGATACGTTATTGTCTATAGTTCTCTCAATCTGTAACATAATGAGATACATTACATATTTACATACACAGGTAAAGTTCACCAGATTATTTAGTGCAGAGAGGCAGTACATAACCATTCTTTCTTTACTGAGTCAAACAATATTTAAAAAAGATATAACTTCGTTAAATCAAAAACTGAAAGTCCCAATAATACCTTGTCCGACAACCGAATTAACCCGTCGAGCGTCCGCGTTCCTTATGATCCAACGGGTGCACACGTGACATTTGGAGCATTTTTTCTTATGATCCACCGGGTGCACACGTGACATTTGGAGCATTTTTTTCTTATGATCCACCGAGTGCTCATAAGGACGCTCGAGGGGTTAAACCCAAGTCTAATTCAGAGTCTCAGGTTCAATGCCCGAGTCGGAGTTGCAATCGGTGCTAAAAGCCTCTTAATTTGTTATTATTATTTGATATCTTTTCAAACGACAATCAATTCTAATCGGTAAATACTCAAAATGTGGAGTCTAGACAAATTGCATTCCGATCTTCGTAGTCATTTTTTCTTCCAAACAATATACATGGCAATAATATGACAATCCCAATAACACACGATGTATGACAATGATTTATATATACATATATACTATATTACTGAATTGAGTCCCTCTGACCATTATCATTATGGTGTCGGCAGAATACAATACATTTTCATATTATAACTTTCGTGAGACATACTAAATTAATTGTTATATTTTTCTGCTTACTTACATAATTATTAGACGAGGACCTCGAGTAGTTTGAGGCTGTAGTATGGGTTGAAACTGGTTGAGTTCCTCGTGAAGCAATTAGGTGAGTGAGCCGAAAAACTAAATATCTACTTTAGAATACGTCGAGTTTCGTGAGAGCTTATGAAGAGGAAGCCCATAGTCCAACAGTTGACTCAGTAAGGGTCTGACACTGTCGCGGAGAACCTAACGGGTAACCGGGGCTCCGGCTCGACGTGCAGGAGAAGGAACGGGGTGGTTTTTAGTCAGTAAGAGTCTGACACTCCTTTCCGCCTCACCCAGGCGGGACCATTTTCCCCCGTTAAAAAAAAAAAAAAAAAAGGTCTGACACTCCCTCTCGCCTCACTCAAGCCGGGAGAAGTTATTAGATTGAATTTCCCCCTCAAAAAACATAAAGACTTGCATAAATTATTGTATTCTATCATTTTATAAACTATATTAGGTACTTTTAAGTTGCCAACTTATTGCACCGACCACGCTCTCACTGCATCACCTAAAGGTTGGCTAGTAAGAATGCCCATGGCATTAAGCCCGCCTATGTACTCTTGTTGCATAAAGTTAAATCTATATATATAAAAGAAAGTCGTGTTAGTTACACCACTTATAACTCAAGAACGGCAGAATAGATTTGGCTGAAAATTGGTAGGGAGGTAGCTTAGAGCCAGGAGACCGACATAGAACTTTTTACCCAATTTTTTTTTTTACTTTTTACCGAAAATCACGAACGGGGACGGGAAAAAATGGGATTACGCGTAAGAAGTCGCGGGAAGAAGCTAGTAAATAAATAAAAATAAACTGTTGTTGTTGATGATGACAACAAATGTACTGACGTCTGTACCACGCAGTACATCGCACGAAAGTTTAAATTCGCCAACTAAACGTAAAACGTTAGCAATAGTTTGTATCCTGTTGTTAGTACGCATGCGTGGGCCTAGACTTGACCTTACTACTCCTTCCTTATTGTTATCACGTAAAGTATTAAATTGCTTATTCATTAATGTGACACTTTAGATATATATATATATTATAGGTTTATAGACAATATTTTTATTAAAAATACCTAAATATACATCGTAAACTAGTCAACACCAAGGCTTTTTCGCTTTGTTTGTCCAGGACATTACTTACAATTTAGATTTTTCTCAACTATTTTATCGTGTCGTGTTTCATATTCGACCTTCAAACCTTCAAGAAAAGAGCGTACTCCTTTTTAAAAGGCCGGCAACGCACCTGTGACTTCTCTGGTGTTGCGGGTGTCCATGGACGGCGCTCATCGCTTACCATCAGGTGATCCATCTGCTCGTTTGCCTCCATCCCGTTTGCCCAAACCCCCGGGCCATCACGACACGTATATAATGCTTTTTCGTAACTAAACCGACCAAAACATTCAGCGTAGAAGACTTTAAAATTAATCATGTATTTAATAAAAGTAATTTTTCAATAACCTCAGTGTGTACTTCCAATACAATATCGGGATATCGGGCATTTACCTACATTAAATTTATTATCAACATTGAACATATTGATACGGGAAAGATTATTATTTCAATGATGTTTTAAATACTTGTTTTAATTTTGAACAAAAACTTTTCAATCCTATTTGTCGTTGCTTTAAAATTCATTTTAGTATGGCAAGTCGCCACTCTTCAAGGAAAAAAACCCAAACCAAAAAATGTATTAAATTGTATCGACCGATATGAACTCTTTGTGTCTACATACTAGATGCTAAGAACTAACTGAATTACATGTTAACCAAATGACCATAGTACATGTCATCCTCATTTTAAAATTTTTCAGCGTTCCTAATATATCTTTAAGTGTTTTTACAGGAAGTCTGATGTAATTATTATCATATTTAGGTACACTTCGGAGGTAATCACTCAATCTTATTTAATAAGGAAGTCCGATAGATTAAAATATTGATAACTTTTTCAAGGAGCTAACTTAGAACTTCTACATGGATTGTAATGACATTTAAAACTCCTTTTTATCTACTATCAAGTAAAATTGTTCTGTTACCCACGGTTCGTGAATAAAAGAGCTGCCTCTAGCCGCCTTACTACCTCATTTATGCTATAAAATAGTCCTATTTTATTTTGGACTTCCTTTGCATATACATTCAGTCAAAAAGGTATCGGGAATGGATAATTTGATTCAATTAATGATCTTCGCACAAGGCTATTATTGTGAACGAATTTTTGACCAAACACTCAACAAATACCACCCAGCGACCACCATATTCACCAGATATGGCTCCTGCTGACTTTTTTCTTTTTCCTAAACTCAAATTACCACTTCGTGGCACCCGTTTTCAATCGATAGAAGATATAAAGGAGAAATCGCGGCGAGAACTGACCTCAATTCCGGAAGCAGCGTTTAAAAAATGTTTTGATGAATGGATTATTCGTTGGCGCAAGTGTATCGTTTCTAAAGGAGCATACTTTGAAATAAATTTGGATGAATAACAGACATTTTGTGTATTACTGATCTTTTCCCGGTACTTTCTTGACAGAGTAGTTCAAATGCAACCTCTTTAGTTTATATATCTCAAAAACAAACACATAATTGAACGATCATCGTCACAATTTCTTGCACACGTACAATAGATAATATCAATATTTGAACGAGAAAACTACGTATGTATACATGAATGTTAAATACACATTACAATGAATACGAAGCAAATAATATCATAAAATTATATGGAACGCTTTGTATTTATGGCCGACACGTATAAATTACTATCAGAATAAATCCCTTTAATATTGTTTGACTTTTACGTGTGTCTCTTGTTATTGCTCGATGTATGATAATTTAAATGTCAAGTGACGATCGATACGAACTTTTACGAACTACTTCGACTTCTAATCCTACTCAGTAAAATGTAAAATCACGATTTTTAACGTAAATAGATAATGTAGATGACTGACTGCCTCGTTGGTCGAGTTGTCGCAAGTGCAAAAAAGGGGTCTCGAGTTCGATTCCCGGGTAGGGAAAAGTATTACTAAGTTTTAAAAAAATCTCAGTATTAGCACGTAGTCTGGAATTGTGCCCACATATGAAAATAGGCTCACCTCCTATTACATGGGACTCATAACATAAATAGTGGAAAGTAGGTGTTACATTGTACAGTGGCATAATGTGCACCTCTGTCTATTCCTTCGAGGATAAAAGGCGTGATGTTATGATATAGATATGTAGATAAATGCTGTGTTGTACACCATTCATACAGATCGCACAGGAAAAAAATACATTTGGACAAATGTAGTATGTACATACATACAATAGGCGGCCTTATCGCTAAAAGCAATCTCATACAGGCAAGCTTAAATATTTTTGTTCATTTGGGAAGTGCACCTACTACCAACCAATCTAGGAGTCATTGTGGAGGCTCGCTCAGCTGTGATTATAACATAATAACGTTATGAAGTTAAAAAACAGGAATCGAAATATATGTACTTTCTAAGATTACTTAGACACCACTGACAAAAGTTGAAAGAAAACATCTTAAGGAAACCTGGACTTATAATTTCTAATTTTAAGTTTGAAATCGCAAACCCGCATTGAGCAAGCGTGGTGATTAATGCTCAAACCTTCTCGTGTGAGAAGAGGCTTTGCTCAGCAGTGGGCATTTATATGCTGTTAATGATGATGAAATTACTTAAATTGTTTTGGTTAAATTACGCAAATACTTACACTGAGAAGGACAATAAGAATGATAATCTACATTAAACAGTAATTATTGGGAAACACATTATACATGAGTTTAAAAAGGTGTTCTTAATTCTTAATTATCTTATCTTGGATAAACATTCGTCGGCTTAAAGTTGGTATGGGACGAAATTTTACAGCGGAATTCGTGTAATAGTACTTTTACCTACCCACTGTTATATGGCGTGATCTAAACTTCTTTTACAGTATTTGAATTATGTTTTTTTGTTCGTCTTTCAAATTTATTAATTAAAGAATCGTTTCTTATTGAGTAAAAAGAATGACAAATTGTGTTCAAAGCACAAATCTGGTCATAGTTTTTACTATAACTTAGACTACATATTTCAATATGAAAGTAAAAAGTAAAGGCAAAATTATCAACGTGCACACGTAATCAAAACATTATACATAGTATAAAATAGATCCAACAACTTCAACTATACTATTTTTAACAAATTCCCTAACTTTGGCGACTTACTAGAATTTGCTTGTGACCATATCAAAACCCACAAAACAAATATTAAACAGGTTAAGTAAACTCCAAACTA